CTGTGACAAACTGTTTTATATATATATATAAAAAGATAAAAAAAGAAACCGAGGAAAGAAAAACACAAAAAAAGAAACCTGAGAAAAAAGAAAAAAGAAAAAAGAAAAATATGTTCTGTGGGATGGTAATTGGATTATCTGTGGGATGTGTACTTGCTTCGTCTGTTTAATAGGCTTTCTTCTTCTGTGAGGTTTGGTTTCCTCCGCCTTTTCTTTACCTCTTTGCCTTTTGGCTGCGTGCAAGTGGGTCTTTATGACACACGAGTATGGGGGCAGCCAGCGCTCAACCTGTCATCCACGTGGCTGGCCTTGTACGTAAGAGGGTATGAACAGGTGGAGCTTTCCTTACCTCTTTTTCTCTCCCTTTTTTCTTTTCTCTTCTTTTCTTCTTTTTTTCGCTTCTGTGCTCTGATTCACAGTGTGACAATATATACAGTCTAACAGAGCTGCCCGGTAAACTTTCTACATATATATTGGCCCGGCCGGGCACTTAGGCCACTCTGGTAGCCTAGCTGAATTTGCTATTATTATTACTGTTTCTTCACAAAACAAAGAAGGTGAAAATGGTCTAACAGGTTGGGCAGATGCGTGTCTAAGAAGAAGAAGATTGTATTTGACCGTGCTTACGGTCAGATTCATTCCGAAAAGTCCAATTCAGACAGAAGATGGGTGAACAAGGAGTTTCTCACCCCCCCTGATGAGGCCAGTGCTGGCACCGGCTGAAGTTAGGGGAATTAGCAGCGCCCTCCGGGTTTGGAGTTGGTGCTGCCCGGCTACCGTCTTCCCCCGGACTGCATAGAACGGGAAAGATGGCTTGTATGCATTCGAATCAGGGTGTGTTGTGCTCAAGGGAAGATGATTGCAGCTTGGCTATGGCGAGTGATCGTGGTCTTGCTCAAAGGTTGTTACTGTTATGTCCCTGATTGAAACGAAATCCAACATGGCATCCACACGCTCCCATACACGTGCGCAATGACAAGTGGACTTGGAGAGAGCAATCCACACCAAACCAGATGAGGAAAATACGCAGCGGAAGCACGCAAATACCCAGAATAGAATCGAATTGAAAATCAATTCTAATTACCGTCTCCCCCCAATTCGATCAGCAACACAAATTTTCCCAAGAATTCCAACCACATAATCAACACCCACGGACCAATTACTTACAAAGCTTCATCGAAATATCTATCCAGGAGTCTTCTTCTTCCTCCCACTATCCCGAAGCTCGAGCTATGGCGCCACTTACACTTTCAGCGCCCAACCAGACAAATCTGCAAACGTTTCAGCGCCCAACCAGACAAATCTGCAAACGTTTCAGCGCCCAACCAGACAAATCTGCAAACGCCACACACCCTCCCGAATCCAACACGTCACTGTGGACCACTCACGAACGGCTGCAGATGATGTGTCCACTCAGCAGGGTAGCGCAGCTCCCTGGATGAAGAAGAAGAACACCAACTCGATGAAGATGAAGGCCTGCCACATCGAAGAAGACTTCACAGAGCTGCTTCGTGGAAGCTGCCCAAAATATTACAAAACTAATCTACTTAGTGATACAGCCCTCTCGGAATCTGCAGTTTATTGCATTCTTACCCTCCCGGGGAGTGAGGACCCACCAGCTACATAACCAACTACCAACCATATTAGCGGAGAGGTATTAGCTACAGGATTGCTGAAACTTCCGTAGTGGTGGAGAAGGCGAAGGGTCGAAGACCTTAGAATCTCAGAGGGCTTAAGGTGAGATTATCAGATTAGATTGATTAGTTGAATTGCGAGGGTATTGACCCGGTAATCAACTTCTAGGCAACCAATCTGCTTTTTGAAAGTCTACGGGTTGTAGCTCATATTTATGATCAGCGAGTGTTGGCTAGCTGAATGCAAGGTTATTAGCCTGGTAATCAGCTTATAGATAGCTAACAACATCCTGAAAATCAGATGATCGAGGTTTAGATTAACAGCATGGGTTAGCTAGTTGAATGCAAAGGTGTTAGCCGAGTAATCAACGTTGATTACTCGGCTTTACTCGGCTGCATGGCATGCCACCTCCCTTTACTGTTCTTCTGACCCTGAGAAGGAGAGGTGTTTCCCTTTTGGGAAGTGGACTGGATCTGGAGTTTGGCCTCCAGATCCAAGGCTGCTCTGCCAAAGGCCCTCCAGCCCTTGTGGTCTCAAACTCCATGGCATGCCACCTCCCCAAGCTTGAGCTTATGGCAGTGGGGGGGTTTCCTCTTCCAGGGTGGGCCCGTGATGCCCTCCCCCTACTCGCCAGGGGGACGCAGTAACAGTTGTCAAGGGACGCTGGGCCCATTTCCCGGCTTGTATAATAAATTTTGTTTCTTCCAAAAAAAAAAAAAGAAAAAAGGTCAATGTTGACTATAGAAAAAGTCCGAATGTGGTAGGATTGTTTGGGTCATTAGACTCATTACATGTATATATCGGCAAACCGAGCTGCCCGGTATTACATGTATGTCTGTGTATATACTGTATTTGATGTATATCGTCATAATTAATATGTTATCCAGATTGTAACGTGTTGATTGAAGGCTTTTGCCGATGCGCAGTGATGTTTTATTTCTTTATTCTTCATTTTCTAAAATAATGACAAGAAAAAAAAGGGACATGGCACCCCCTTGACGTGGGGGTCATTGCTGTCAGCAGGGTTCAGACCCTTGTGACTCATTCATCAAGCAGCACATCTTAGGTGTGTGCGAGTGCACCTGGACCCGAGAGCATAGTGGTCGTTGTTTGTTTGGTGATTTCTTTTTCCCAGCATAATTCAATAACAAATATGAACAATAATAAATACAATAACAAGTATGAAAAATAATAAATACAATAATAACAAGTATGAAAATTAATGAATGCAATAACAAATATGAAAAAAAATAAATAAAATAACAAACATGAAAAATAGTAAATACAATAACAAATATGAAAAATAAAATAAAATACTATTAAGTATTAAGTACAAAATAAATGCAAATGCAATGGGTTGTTGACTTTTGCTTTTTCCCTGCTTTCCTGACCGTTTTTTTTTTTCCCCATTTTTCTGACCAATGTTGGTTACTCTCCTTTCCTGTTTGTGTGTTTTTGGTGATGGCTTCTTCTGCAGTGGTTAGCTTTTTCGGTACTTCCTGGAGTTGGCAGGGGCAGGGGGGGGGGAAGGAGGGGGAGTGGGGGTTTGGGGGGGGGGTAGGGGGAGGGGGGGACTGCTGCCGCCCATCCACCTATCTATCCATCTTGTCGGTTTTAGACACCAACCACAGAGAGAACTAGGATAGAGAGAGACCTAAGACAGAGAAAACCCCGGAAGGGAGAAATGAGGGGTGGGGGTGAGGGGAAGGTGGTGGTACAACATCATGACAGGGGGAGAAAAGAGTGTACAAGTGAAGATGGGGAAGCCTGCTCCCTCACCTGCCGCCTGACGGATGACACTCTTCTCATTGTATTCTCCCTCTTCTCCACCCGTCAGCTACTGATGTCAGCAGCTCTCGTCTGCCGGCGATGGTGTCGCCTGGCAAGGACATATGTGGTAAGCAAGAACAATCTGGCTCAGCTGTGTGTGTGTGTGTGTGTGTGTGTGTGTGTGTGTGTGTGGTCTGCCGGCGATAGTGTCGCCTGGCGAGGATATATGTGGTAAGCAAGAACAATCTAGGTCGGCTCTGTGTGTGCGTGCGTGTGTGTTAACACTGTTAAGCATGAACAATCTGGCTCAGCTGTGTGTGTGTGTGTGTTAACACTGTTAAGCATGAACAATCTGGCTCAGCTGCATGTGTGTGTGTGTGTGTGTGTGTGTAAGAGAGAGAGAGAGAGAGAGAGAGAGAGAGAGAGAGAGAGAGAGAGAGAGAGAGAGAGAGAGAGAGAGANGAGAGAGAGAGAGAGAGAGAGAGAGAGAGAGAGAGAGAGAGAGAGAGAGAGAGAGAGAGAGAGAGAGAGAGAGAGAGAGAGGGTTGAAGTGATTGAGTGTTTGTATTGATGGCAGTGTTGCATACCCCGACGGTCGGCGGCCCTTGACTGGTCGGCACCTACCGGTCGGGGGTCGTCGGCACCCCCCAGCAAAAAATATATGCTGCTGCTTGTCGGGCAAGGGCTCTGCAAAGCCACTTGCTTCATTGGTCCTGCTGCTGCTGCTGCTGTCCGGCAAGGGCTGCACAAAGCCACTTGCTTCATTGGTCCAGAACCCCTTATAACCCCAGCAACACCTCCATACCCAGCCCCAATACCCCCATACACCTCCCCAACACCCACAAACCGCCCTCCAACACCCTCATACCCCCCCCCGCCCCCCCCACCACCACATCCACAAAAGTTTCTCAGCGGATTTGGGCTGTACTCAGCAAGCGCAGTACAGCCCCCAACTCAGATCTGAAAAAAAATCAGTGGATGGCTATTTTCTGACTGGTCGGCTGCAAAATGGTCGGCAGTTGAGGTCGGCGGTCTGCAGGTATGCAACCCTGATTGATGGAGTTTTTGGACTTTGGGTGCAGGTGCGGGCAATAGACCCTCCACGGTACTCACTTCATTCATGTCCGTGGGGATCTCTGGTGAGTTAACCCTCTCTTCAAAAAGGTTTTCTTGTTACCTTTGGACTTATACACCTGGTTTCTCATCTGTGTACCTTCTTGCTGCTTCTGTTTTCCTGTGTGTGTTCCCCTCCCCCCCTTTATAACTTCATGACTTCGTCCTAAGTATATGACTGCAGCCTTCTTGTTTCTATCGGGGGAGAGGAGGAGGGGGGGGGGGGCTGGTATTGATAAGGAAAAGAAAAGGTTTCTACTGGGATTCTGTAATGCAGCCACAAAGTGTATAGCTTCGGCCTCCAGGTTTCTAGCTTTTCTAATGTTCTTTTTGTGTTAATTTAGGATGTTTTACTTTCCCCCCCCCCTCCCCCCCCCCCCCTCCCCCAGCCTGCCTGGTTCCTTTTTTTCCCTGCTTCCATTTCCCTTCTCTTCCACGTCCCTTTCTTCTACCTCCTTTTTTGTTGTTCAGAAATACTTGATTCTGTTCTTCTATTTCCATATGTCGCCATTTCAACAGTTGATGGGTGTACCAACTGAGCTAGCCTCCTCAGTTCCCTTTTTCTTTTCTTCCACCTCCAACAGTCTTCCCCGGAATACAACGTATGGTCCTATATAGCTGTATTTGGGGCAACCTTCGGTCTAGGTACAGTGACGATGCCTGTATGTTCTATTTGGGGGAAGACAGTAGTAGTTATCCTCCTCACCCCCTCCTCCCTTTTTAATCTGATTCTTTTCGGCACTGTCATTCCTCTCCCCTCCTCCCCCTCCTCTTTTTTTTTTTTCTTTTTTCCTTTTTTTGTCCCTGCCAGTGACAGCGCTGCTTCCTCTCTCCTCCCTCCTAGTTCTTTTTCCGCTTGTCTTTTTGTTCGTTGTTGCTGCCAGTGACAGTGCTTTTCTCATGTCATTTCCTCTCTCTCTCTCTCTCTCCCTTTCTCCTCTTTTCTCATGTCATTTCCTCTCTCTCTCTCTCTCCCTTTCTCCTCTCTCCTTTCCTCCCTTTCTTTTTCCTTCTTTTTTTTTAATTGCATTTTCGGATGATTTTCCTCTTTTCTTATTGGCATGTGGTGCATTATCTCAGAGTATACGCACACTAGGCCCTCAAAATCGCAGAATTACAAAATCAACAGCCAGATCGAGTCCTCCGTTGTTGTCACTACTGTCGGCTTCTGCAGCTGCCACCACCTCTGCTGCAGTTGTCACTACTGTCCGCTGCTGCAGCGGTCCCCACTCTCTCTGCCTGTCACACATCCTCACCTCCTTGTCTTCCATTTGGTTCCGGGCTGGCCGAGGCTGTGGAAGAATGCCCTCCCCGGCAACCGTGCCAGTCTGTCGGCCAGGGAGGCTCCTACTGTACCCTGTCCTTTGCTTAACCTCTGCCTCTGCCAGCCGACAACCCTCCCACTCTCCCTCTCAACCTTATCCCTCAAACACACACGACCCACCAGCTTCACACAGCTAGGTGCTTTGCCCTTTCCTTGACCCTTCCGAACCCTCTTGCTTCCCACATTTACACATACCACGGCAAAGCAACTGTGGCCCTTACCTCGACTTGGGTTTGCCTGGAAAATCCTATGGTTAACCCCCTTAACTCGCTTCAGATAATTTGACGTTTCGTAAAACATCCATGCATGATGCCCCTTAGATTTTGTCCTGGACTAGCGGAAAGCTTCGACCGTCCGACCATCGCAGCCACTCCCTTCGAGCCCGCGGGAACTTGACAGAAAAGAAAAGGAAGTGCACACGGCCAACTCAGATTTTGAAGGACTGCATGAGAATGTTATCGGGACTTACCCACGGAGTTCGTCCCGTCAAAGTATGGTGAGTTTGCAACCTTTCACGAGCTAGCTTAGGCCCAGGGGCTCTTAGGCCCCCTCTGGGCCCCCTCTGAGCCCACGGATTTTTATGTACTTTTGCAAATCACGTTCGGAGTCTGACAGTTGCGAAATTAAAGCAGCATTTGCATTGACAGGGAGCTCCGTGGCTCAGACTACATGCCAAAAAAAAGACTTAACACAGCAGCGCGGCCCCCTACTCATCGACAAGCCTTTCTAGCTTGAAAGTTCTCAGGCGCGAGCTTGATATCCTGTAAATTTTTCAGGAGCTATTCAGAACGAGGATGGCCGCTACTACTAACAGCACAAACCACGGCTCCTCCACAGATTTTTGTGACTGATTCTGGAGCTCAGAGAAGAGGGCGGCAAGGTGAACTAGCCCTGCAAAGAGATCAAGATCACTTACTCTTTTTCGACAAGAGAGGCCTATTGAGAAACACTCACAACGCACTTGTCCAAGCAGTGTGACTAGGAACATGCAAAATGAGCTTCATTAACGGCTGGTTTGTGAAGACTCGAATGGTGGTTTTGACAAGTTATCAGAAGAAGAAAATACATAAGGAGCGAGTCACAAGCGCCCACCCCACTTTCACCAGAAAGAGCTGGAGGGAGGGCTCTCACAACGAACCCGGCCAAACTGAATGACCAGAAGCATCCTGATTGAACTGCACAGAGTTGCACCAAGCCGATGGGTCACAGGAACAGGAAACATGCTCATCCAGACACGAGGTAACTCGAGGGCGAGGATCACGAAGCAAGGAAGCTTGATGCGAATTCGCATCCACAGACAACAAATGAGGGGCTGTGACAAACTGTTTCATCGAAGTTTCATCGACTCATCAGGAGGCCGAACCCTCAACAGTCTGCAGAATCCCCTAACTGATTACACTGTAAGTGACAATCCACCTTAACCCCGGTTGTGGTTAAGCATCAACGACTGCCCGGCAACAGATACCCTGAGGTGGGCACCAACCACTGCCCTCAAGGTACCTGTGATGAAAATCAAAGCAGACTATCATTCACCCACACCAGATGGAAAACTCTACAGACTGTTGGTTCACGCCCCATCACAAGCCAGCAAAACACCCACGAAACGAAGAAAGGTCTGTCACAACATTATACAGTCCAGACTCCAGACACGTCACTGGTGCTAGAGGCACAGCATGGCCGTGTAGTGACGGCCCCGGGCACTGACACATTATTATATATAATATATCAGTTGTCGGGCAGTCGTTGATGCTTAACCACAACCGGGGTTAAGGTGGATTATCACTTACAGTGTAATCAGTTAGGGGATTCTGCAGACTGTTGAGGGTTCAGCCTCCTGATGACTCAGTGGGTGAAACTCTGACGAAACAGTTTATCACAGCCCCTCTTTTGTTGTCCTCTTCTTCCTCTCTGCCTATGGTTTACCGGGCAGCTCTGTTTGACTCATAGTTCTTTTTGGACCAGGCAAGTGGTCCCTGGCCACTGTGGTGCCATAGAAATGATAGAATTCAATACTATTTAATATTTATTGGCCCTTTTATCAAAATTTGTATTTAATGTTTATTCGACTTTATTGTCCATTCTAATGCCGTTACTATTTGTTCTCCCTTGCAATGCTGCTCTTGCACATGTTGGTTGCTGTTGTTTTGCAGGGGGCAAAATTTGTTATGCAATTAGCGGAACGACACTCTTCAACTGCTGAAGTCCTGAATCTTCATGGGTAATTTTTGTAAATTCTCATATTTCGTCTACCCCCCGCTCCCCCCGCTGGCCCCAACCACCCACTCCCCCCGGTATCTTCCCCCTTTCCTCGCCCTACCCCTCACCTCCCCCTACCTCTCCTTCTCCTCTTTCTTGCTTATTTTGCAAACAATGGTTAGCGGTTGTTGTTGCTATTTTAGAGTTTTTTTTTACGTATTGGTCATGCATGTCGATGGAGGTCTCATTGACCAACTTATTTTTGACATCTGTAGGCAGACATCTCAAATAAGTCTTCGAGAGTATTTGCGGTTCGTACCGGACACCCGGGACAATGATTAGTCGCTCTACAACATCTGTTACTTTGCAAACTCTGGTATCTCTTCGATCCCAGACTTGCAAGTGAGTCAGTGGCCTTCTGAAACCCTTGGGGGTCATGCCACCTGTGATAGACCAGTCGTACGAACTCCGCCAATGATGTGGCCTGTGCCCAGCAATCGGAGTTTTGACCGTAGCCCTGCTGCTGTGCTAACCCGTTTAACCATCTAGCTGCAGATCCATCTAAAAAGGACGCAACGACTATGACTTCCTCCTCTGTCCTAGTGAGCTTGTCCCTTACGTTCGTAGGCGCAGTCCTCACCCAGGTGTCCAGGTCCTCTTCCTTCTTCTTATCACCAAAGAAGGGTTTAGGACTCAACAAGGGTATCTTGGGGGTCCACTGCATGGGCTGTACAGCACCCTGTGCCTGCTGCATCGGTTGAACAGGCGGCTGCGGCGGTATTTGTTGCTGCAGTGGCACTTGCTACTGCTGTTGTACCTGCTGCTGCTGCGGACCCTGTTGCGAAGGCTGCTGCACGTGTGGCCACCCTGTAGCAGCGGCCACGGATTGGGGAAATGAAAAAGGCTGTACAAGGATCTGCCCACTACTACCTGCTACTAATCCGCCTGATGGGGGCATGCCAAACTGAGGGGCAAAGGGCTGTCCTGTCGGCGGCAGCGTCAACACTGGACCTGCAACCGTAGGGGGAGCTACAGCTCTGGGGTGGCCTCACCGGAGGTCGAGGCGCCCCCAATGCGGTCAGAATCTGGTTCTGACCAGCTATCAGTGCAGCAAACATTTCCTGCTGAACGGCCTGCACTTCGGCTACGCTCAACAAGGAGTTCCGAAGGGACAGACCTACAGGATGGAGAGTCGACTCATCTATAGCTTCTAACTTGCCTATCTCCGCAGACCTTGCCTCTAGCCTGGCTTTTCTAATTCTAGCTCTCTCTCTACTTTCCTCTACTTCCCTTAACTGGCGCTGTAACTCTGCATGGAGAGCATTCGTTTGCTGGATCTCATAATCCTCTTCTGACATGGGCTTCTGCTGGCTGACCTGCAAGCCAGCAAGCTGACTAACGGAAGGCTGGTTCATACCCGGACCGACACCTGACGAAGAGGCCTGAGATGAGGCCTGTGAGCGGTGGCCATGCTTGCCTCGGCGTCCGCTCTAGCGTCTGCTGCTAATGCTGCTGCTAGTGCCCTTTCGGCGTTGGCTGCTGCTTCCCTAGTCCTCTGCAATGCCATCCTCTCTCTGGCTTCTCTCCGCAGTCTCCTTTGCTCTCCTTGTTCTAACACTAGGAAAGTGGTCGGCCGACTGAGTGCAAGTCTCCGGGGAAGCCTCCGATCGTCTTGCTGTAGTCCCTCAACCTCACTGTCATCTCCACTCATGAGGTATGGCTAGTGTCCTCGCTGGGACCTACCGCAGCATGGCACCCAACCTATTAAAATAAAATAAAATGAATATTCGGTCCAGCTTTGCCAGAGAGTAGCCAAGCGGTAACAGCAGATAATCTCAGATTCCTACAAATGATTCTATACCTACTTTTGACTAGTCTGAAACAGATTGCAAAGCAGCCAAGAATATTTGCTACTCTATCTGCAGCAGTCTGTTCGTTGTAAGCAAAGTCCGTCACAACGAACTAATAAAAAATAAAAATAAAATTATTTGCCGGTGTGCATGCAGAATGAAAATTTTCAATAAAAATAACAACAATAATAATAAAATCAATAATTAACAATCGAACAGTTTACTGGAATCTTTCCCCCCCCCTGTATCCCTCTTGAGTAGTCACTGAGTGTCAACGTCCTGAAGCTCTGGTTCAGCGGCGTGTCTGAAGGTGTGCAATTGGCCCACCCCTGTGCCCCAAGTCGATGCAGAACTGGCCAGCCCCGGCCGTACTATTTTTATACTTGCGTACAGCATGAGTCGTGTATCCCCACCAGAGTCTCTTTATAGACGGTCCAGTACTCGTCTCTCCCCCATAGGGTTGGCCTGCCCGACATGACCTCTACAGTGCAGCAAGCAGACCAAAGGACAAGCTGCAAAGCATGTGTCTTCTAGTCCCTGCGGGTTGGCATGGTGGCCGTGACCCGAGTGCTTCGTCCGGGGCCCTTCAGAGGCAACACCCGTCTTCCACCAGCTTGCTCCCCAGGAAGGATGCCAACTCTCAAGGTTGAGCGCTCGCGACACCTCACAATGAGAGGACTCTCAAGACAGAACTCACTTCCTCACGGTAATAAGCAACGAAGAGGGTAGATAAGGTAAGAAGCAACGAAGAGGGTAGATAAGGTAAGAAGCAACGAAGAGGGTAGATAAGGTAAGAAGCAACGAAGAGGGTAGATAAGGTAAGAAGCAACGAAGAGGGTAGATAAGGTAAGAAGCAACGCACCTCATAATGCTGCCCCCAACCACAGATTTCTCGCCAGTAACCTGACGTGCATTTTTGATTACCGGTCGATGCCTCGGCACAACCCACAATACAATGCAGTTCCACCTCGGCTTAAATGCCACGTCAGCAAGCTCTCATCATCCAGCGTGCACCCCTTATGTCACCGCATAGCCTTCCTGGCGCGCCCACACGACACTGGGCCGCCGTCACAACCCAACGCACAAGCATTATCACTGCCCCACCATATACAGCGAAGCACCAAACTGCTATTGTGAAGGAGCCAGTGGAGCGGCTCGAACCAGCTCCGATACCAAATTGCAAGGAAAATGAGCGATAGCGAAATGACAGAAATCCAGAATGCAAAATCACATTGAAAGCCAGAAAGTCCAATGCTGTCCAGAAAGCAGAAATGCACCGATATATCACCAACGAAGAACCAAAGCACCGAATCCGAATGTCAATGAGAGCGTACTCTCGCAGCCACCAACATATGTATCCAGAGCCCTTCCTCCTACTTGGCGCTCAGTGCCCAGACTACGATCAAGCAGCTACTACCAGCCTACGAACTGACAATGCAACCTGTTGATGTCAGCAGCAGAACTGAAGTACATGAAGATGTCGACCCTTGTAGACCATCACCAAGACCAGGTACGTTCCCTCACATCATCGTCCTCATCTTCCTTTCTCTCTCACCCTCGACTTCTACACCCACGTTTTCTTCCTCGTATTCGAAGACCACCACCACCTCCCCCTGGCTATCCAAGCGCAAGCCCGGTTACATGGGCTGGGCTATGGCGCTGCCCTCAGCAGCGCCCTGCCTCTCGTACTACCGCGCTCGTGCACTTCTGCAATGGCGCTAGCAGCAGCACGCAAGCGCTCGCTCCAGCAGTGCTGCCGCCCGCTCTACCAAGTGCCCAATCCCCCTGCAGGAGCCCGACCCTTTATTATATGGAAAGTGGCGGGTGCATCCCACTTGCTTAGTTTGCAGTAGCTTCAGTCTTGGCCAAAGTGGCTGCACCCAGGCGCGTTCAGACAGTGGCCTGGGACCGATTTGGTTAGGCATGCCCAAGCACCCAGGCACGACGTGCGGTGTTCCCTGCTTCAACCACGTTGGTGGAAGAGCCTGGAAGGCTCACAAATATTTCCGATTCTCACGAGCAAAGCGGATGTAACCAACTGGCACGTGGCAACTGTCTGGCACCCATCAAGCTTTGCAAAAATTGACGAGTTCAGGGCACATTGAGATTCAGGGGGGCCCGCCTTCACTTAGGGCGGGCACGCGCCTGCTTTAGGGCCTTATGCCGAGGGGTAAACCCTTGCACAAGGGGCGTCTATAGGACACCCTAGCTCCAGTGTTAGACCTGCTTTACACATGCATGATCTCCCCCCTAGCTCCAGTGTTAGTCCAGGTACATCCAATGTATCTGATCGGTTTCACATCCAGTGTACTCATGCTGGGCCCGTGCATTATCTTCCACACTCTTTCGTGCTATTTGAGAATGTTTTCTACGATTTCAGTGCTGTTTCACAAGTTAGCCTTGTTTTTTTTTGTTTTTGTTTTTCAGTGTTTCTGAGGAGAAAATTCTTCTTCTTCTTTTTTTTTCTTTTCTTTTTTTCCCCAATGTCAGGGCCTTATGGTCCCGGCTCCATTCTATTCTGGGGAGCGTCAGTCCGGTTCCTATTCCACCGGCAAGTCAAAAAATATTACATCGTTGGGACTCACTCACGCTTCCTTCCGTCTGGCCGAAGGACCCCTGGACAGCATTGATTGCTCCACCTCAGTGGAGGATTGACTGCCAGCTTGCCCATCCTCTCTCTTTCCTCTCAGACCGGACAATTAGGTCTGCCAAATTCCATCGCTGAATCCTAGAAAGAGTCCCTCTATTGTGATCATCAACCCGAGCCCTTCCCATTCCACGTGCTTTTCCTTTTACCTGAGCAACCACTAAACCCTGAACCCTAAACCCTCGTCCTTCTTAACAGCTCCCCGATATACCATTCCCATTCAAGGATCGCCTTCCTCATTGCTTCGGGACTCTTTGCTTTGACCCTTTTACCTCCCTTGCTCGCCTTCATTACTAGCTTGCATTCTAGTCTGAGGAGAAAATTCTGACCCTTCATTCCTCAGCCTTGGATTTTAGTGCTGTCACATAAAAAAAGGGCTGCGGAAACCACTCCGTTACTTAACACGAGCAAAACACCACCTTTAGTCAACGAATGAAGTCCCTATGTGGGTCTGCATATTTCCTAGCCTTAACCATTGTAAGCCTGAATAAATTGTTCGTTCTGGTACTGACTCTGGTACTGTGTGTTCCTGTGGGCTGTTCCTTTCCTTTCCCTCGTCCTTTCCTTTCCTTCGTCAACTGTGTGCCTCGTTTGGCTGTGCAATTCTGCAGACTGACGGAAATCTCTGGACCGCAAATCGCAACCCTTGTACAGATGATGCCCAAGTTAACAGATCTGACGGTTGTTGGATGTCAGGGACTGCTTTCGACACACCTTGATGGTCTGGTTGGTGCGCTACCTGTTGGGTTGGAGCGTCTGGATCTTCATCTCGACCATCTTCTGGGATCTCGACTCTGTTCTTCCATGGGATCTGTGTCGCCTTCATCTCTGCTCGTCACCGACAGATTTGCCGACGCATTGGCGCGGAGGTGCACTGCCTTGAGGGATTTAAATCTTGAGAACGCCTGCACGTTGTCGGAGAGAGGGATAGGCATTCTGACCAAGTGCTTCCCCGAGTTGACAGCGCTGTCGCTGCAGAGTCCTCTGCTCGGTTGGTCCGACGTGCAGACAATCTTTTCCGGTTGTCAGCGACTCAAGCGGTTTTCGCTGGTATCGCCGCACCTCCAACTCCACTCGGGCCGCCGACCTGGAGGTCGTTGGAATGCGGGGATGCCGCGTCAAGCGCTTCATCTCGCCAGGAGCATGCCGCCTTCCCTGTCCTCTTTGCGACTGTATTCGGCACCGCACGAATCCATTCCATTGGAGGGAAAAATGACAATCACATTGATCACAGAGAAAGGTGTACAGCTTGAAGAGCTCCATCTGCAGTCACGTTTCCAGTCCACGTGGCAGACAGTCAGCGTTTGGTGTCCATCCCTTCGCTGTCTTGATCTGTCTCATTCATCTCGCTCAGCTCATACATTTACTGAGGTACGGAAAACTCCCTCCCTCCCTCCCTCCCTCTCTCTCTCTCTCTCTCTCTCTCTCTCTCTCTCTCTCTCTCTCTCTCTCTCTCTCTCTCTCTCTCTCTCTCTCTATCTATCTATCTATCTATCTATCTATCTATCTATCTATCTATCTCTATCTCTATATATCTATCTATCTATCTATCTATCTATCTATCTATCTATCTATCTATCTATCTATCTCTATCTCTATAGCCTCCTGATGAGTCGGTGAAATTCCGACGAAACAGTTTGTCACAGCCCCTCGTTTGTTGTCCTCTTCTTCCTCTCTGCCCACGGTTTACCGGGCAGCTCTGTTTGACAATATGTATGTCACAGCCCCTCGTTTGTTGTCCTCTTCTCTCTCTCTGCCTACGGTTTACTGGGCAGTTCTGTTTGTGACGATATATTATATATATTATATATATTCGGTGAAACTCCGACGAAACAGTTTGTCACAGCCCCTCGTTTGTTGTCCTCTTCTCTCTCTCTGCCTACGGTTTTACAGGGCAGTTCTGTTTGTGACGATATATATGTATGTAATTATGTATGTTCAGCCTCCTGATGAGTCGGCGAAACTCCGACGAACAGTCTTGCACAGCCCCTCATTGTCACCCTCTACCCCCTCTCTGCCTCTGGTTTACGCAAGAGGTTCTGAACAGGGGGAGTTGTAAGTACGAAGATAAAAAATGAATTGATATCTTTTTTGTTTCCTTTTGTTTTTTTTGCTTTTGTGCTCTGATAACTTTGTGACAATATGTATGCGTGTGTGTGTGAGAACCTGTCTCTGATGATTGGCCTCAAACATTGAAAATGGAAAAACAGGCACTAGAATTTGTCCAGGGAGACGGTCCACCTGAGTGGTCAACTGTATTGCCTGTTGGCACGTCAAGTTCCGCAGCTGGGTTCAAACCCCAAGTCCAACAAACACCGGTCCGAGGGAGTGCGTGTGAGTGCATGCATGCATGTGTTTGTGTCCCTTCCAGCCGGTTCTGGATGTGGAGGATATGTAGTAGGAGTATATTACTTCTTTTTCTTGTAGTGCACGAGTGCGTGTCTGTGCATCAGTGTGTGTGCGGTCGTTTGTGTGTGTGCCTTTGTGTGTGTTTTTTGTCCTACCCTTTGACCTCCCCAGCCCTGCCTTCCACCGCCAGACCTGCCTGCGGCATCCCCCCACAACATGCCTCCCTCCCCGCCCTTCTTCTCCAACCCTGACCCCAAATCCACCGAGCCCACCTATTCCACATCGAAAATGTGCCTTACAGCAGGGCCACCCCCCAGTTCTCTCTTACGACTGGGCTTTTTGCTGGAAACCCCAATGAGTTGTGGTCCTCCGAATTCTACACCCTGCAGATGCACTGCGTGCTTGGGCGGCGCTGCTTCTCCCGTGCCCCATACCTGAAATGTGCTCGGCGCTTCTGCCTTCCCATGTCCCCATACCGTGCCGCTCGGTGCCACCACCCGCCTCACACGCAAACATGCCACGTGGCTTTGTCACGCGTGCTGCCCCCCTGCACCGCTCCCCACCACGCGGGCCCCACACCCATCATTTGCCATGGTGGCGGAGCCACCCGCCCTGACCCTGAAACAAGTATCCGCTGTGCAATGCCTCCCACCTGAAAAAAAAAAAAGAAGAAACAGTATGGCAAAGCCTCACCTAGAAAAAAGGTGACCCTGCCTTTCTCCGGGGGCCAGCCACCAATTGTGCCTGTGCCCAACCTGCAGCCCTGGTCTCATGAGAGCATTATGTACGACCATCTTTGACGTTAGTGAGTTAATAAATAATAATATTGTTTTTTGACAAATCTTTGCTATGGTATGATGGTTGACTGTTCCCGCACGAGGGCTTTGTATGGTGTTGCTGGCTACCGTCTTCACCCGAATAGAACACCCGGTCATTATAGCTGTATTTGGTGCAACTTTCAGTCCAGATACGGCAATAATTACCGGGCGTTCTATTCGGGTGAAGACGGTAGCAATTGGGGTGCATGGAGTTAGTATTTCATGTTAAGCTGGCAAACAATCTTTTGCCGGTTTGACAAAGCAACTGACGTTTTGTAATAGATTTGTTCAATATGTTTCATTTATCGATAAAGATAAAACAATATCGAAGCATAACCCAGGTTTTGTATAGCACCGTCCTGCAAGACCCCAAGAAGCAGCGGGGCTCAAGGGAGGGGCCCAAACCGGACTTGTCTCTTTTCAATTTTCTAGAGCCACGTGTGGTGAAAAAAGTCTGTTCATTCACTCGTCTGACCGAAAAGAAATGTCTGTTTGGTGCCACATGCACACCTCAGCATGCACAGACAGACACAAGAGAGAGACAGCCAAGTGTGTTGAAAAAAGTCTGTTCATTCACTCGTCTGAAAGAAAAGAAAAGTCTGTTTGGTGGCACATGCATGCCTCAGCATGCACAGACACGCACAAGAGAGAGACACAGAGAGAGAGAGAGAGAGAGAGAGAGACAGACAGACAGACAGACAGACAGACAGACAGACAGACAGACAGACAGACAGACA